CCCCCCCCCCCCCCGCCCCCCTCACTGCTATCGGCGTCCATAGTTTCCCTGGAGGACACCGCGGCGTGCCATTGCAGCGCAGGTGGACACGAACCACTTCAAAATCATCTCTGATCGTCTCAAACCACAGTGGCCCCGTCGCACAAGCTGTGAGCCCATCAAGATTGAATCGACGAATGCTTTTAACAAGATCATCGTCATATTCTTATTGGAACTCTCAACGTAAACAAGATTTCCTGTAAAAAGGAAGTCCAAGACGGTCAGGACGGGACCACCTTTGAGACGGGAAAACCCCCAAATAAGTTGTCCCCCTATTACATCGAGGGAAAATATCGGAAAAAGAAGCTGGACCCCAGCAAAACACGGAGAGAAGACACCGCTATTTGATCAGTTTGGCGTGGACGCGTAGGCTGACCACGAAACATCTACCAAGCGTCAACCAACTCTTGGAGAGTCAGCCGGTGGATCCACCACAATTAGTATGTTCCCCCCATCCAACTAACATTCACGTCTCATGCTGAGAATGAAAAAGAGCCTTTGGAAGATGATTTTTTTTGTTTTGTTTTGTTTTGAAGAGATGGGCAGCGAGGGAGGGGGCTCGAGCCATGCAGGTTGTGATTGCCTCCGGACAGGATCAAAGCAGCCTCAATGAGAAAGCCTCTTTTTTGCTCAGTGGGACATCGATTTCCCACAGTCGTCTGCATGGCAGTGGAAGGAAATACCAAGTAGAGTAGCTACAGGATTGAGAAGCCCTCATTGGCGTGCCAATTTTTCAAATGTTCAACTCACAGAATAGTCAGAACATTCAGACGAAAAGTAAACAAAAAGAGGCTCGGTGCTTCAAGGTCCGGTCTACCCATCTTTCCGAACAAAGGTCTTATCGGAGGCAGGTGTTTGAAGCAGGAATGAACCACAGCTTGCGCTTCTCGCGTTAAAACATCACGCCACGACCCATTGATCAAGTGTCACGGTGTGTGAGCAACAGTTTGCAACGGAGACACGGAGAGACTGGACGGGGCACAGAAAGGCAAAGGAGTAGATGTCCTCACTCTTGGACTCCAGACGAGGTAGCAAGCAGTAGTGGAGTGCATCAGTCGGTGCTTTACTGTCAACTTGGGCGTTACTTTGGAAAGGGCTGAGCTCACAGCGACGTCAACTCGCCTTTAGCCATTCGTTGGCCATGAAGTCCGAATACCGTTTTTCCGATTCCCACTGGCAAGCAACTGTAGCACGGAGTGATCGTCGACGTCGCGAGACCGAAACATATATTGCCACTTACATTTCTTTAAGCACTTGATCCACTGTCGCACTATCATGCCGTGGTACTTCTTGTACTCGATGCACCACGCTGACAGCCCTTGAATGGAATCCATTGTGTTGGTCACACTGAGTAACTTTTTGTCCAGCACGGCCTCAAAAGAGGCACCGGAATCGCGCCCTCTTCCTGCTTCCATGTGGAGAGTCCCCGGCTTCGCGTCGTCCTCGCTCAAACGCGCCGAAGTTAGCTCTAGCTAAGGCTAGCTTAGCCGGCTAGCTTACCGTCGCACAGACTCGTACGTCGTGGGCGGCCATTGCCACGTTCCGAAATATTGCCGATTTCACTTTCTGCGTCGAGTCATGACGCACTAGTGACGCGCGATTGAAAGCGAAGAAGCCGCTGGCTCTGGGATCAGTGCGATTTAAAAACAAAATACAGCGCGCTCGGATAAATCGGCAGACTTCTTGCGTTGCGGTCCTGTCGAGCCCGAAATTCCGCGTTCCCGGCCGGAAAAAGCAAGTGGAACGCCGTCGGCGGATATCCGCCTTCGGTGCTCCGCGTAATCAAATCCGGGAACGGTACGACAAAGTTACCGTCCGGTTATTTTGAACGGCCGTTCGCGGGGTCCGTCAAGTGCTGGCCAAGCTATGGTGAACCTCTTGTGTTCATGTCTGCCCTGCCTCGCAAAGACCTGCTCTTCACCTTTTATGTCTGTGACGTTATTTGGACCCGACGACGAAGGTTTTTCATGACATCATGATCATGGACCTTTTAGCTTTTTTTTTTTTTTTTTGAAATGATTTTTTTTTTGCTGTTGTGGAATAGTTATTTTCTCTTTCTCCTTCGCACATAATTGAAAGGTCCACAGTTTTTGGACTTGAACGGGAAATTGAATTTTAGGCTGAACGTAGACCCACAACCTCATGTATGAAATTTCATTGACAAAAAAGAAGCACATTTTCGCTGTAATTAGAGTGAATTCGAGTTACTTTTATAAATATGACATGGTGTTTCAGTTAGCTTCCAGACAAACAGTCGCACCAACCTTCATATCCCATCGAAATTGAACTGATGCTCAATTTGTGGGGGGGTGAGCAGTGAGATTTGTCATAAAATGACCACCTTGGCGCAGTAAAGGTGTAGAAACCCTCGACAAAGTAACCAAAGGCTGTCTGGTGACGGACAACATGTTTAGACCCTTCAACATGAACTGAATTTTAATTTAAAACGTGGCAATACAAAATTGTTCAAAGCGACTTCGTTTCAAACAACTTCAAGAAACGCTACTGTATGGAATATTACAATCAAAACAATAATGAATTGTAAAAAAATTCATAAAAAACAAACAAACGATGACACCAAATTTGTAGTGTGAGCGTACAACAAACACCAAGACACAAAAAAGCGCTGATTCTGTAGTAAAGTGGTCTCTTAAGGTGCGGTAGTATTTCAGTCAATGACTTGGAAATTTAGTGCAACAGTTCCACATTTTTCAAAACATTATTTAAGGCATTCAAGTTTTTTTTCATCGTCACGTTCATGGACTCATTCTGATTTATTCAGCGAGTGCATAGAAAATAATTGTGTTTAACGGTGTACTTTTTCAGCAGCAGGGAAGTTATAGTTTACTTAGAGAAAATGTATAAATTCTAGGCTTCACATTAAGTGCTTTTGTGCTGCGTTCCTGGACATAAATAACACATAAAATATAACATTTATATGGCCGTGCATGGTCGAATATAAGTGCAAGAGTCGTCGGTGTGTAATTGCAGGCAGATTTTGGAAGGACTCAACTGTCTTGTTACTTTAAGCCTGGATTGAATGCTGTTGAAAACAAATCGGGAAATGGCGACTTGGGCCCTTTGTTTCTCGGCACCGTTTCGCAAAACACCCAATAAAAGCAGGCAGATGTCCTGAGGCACGGCGGCAAATCGCGTGCCTTCTTACTGCGTATCCACCGCTTGTCATAGTACACGCGTCTCATGACAATACTCATGACTCGGAAATACGACCCTTGAGTCAAGCGCCACGAAAAATACCCCCCTTTTGCATGCGAAGCGCTGATTGCGAAGGCTTGGGGAACTAAACGGCTTGATGATTGTACGTTGGGAAATGTGCAAACAGTTACCCCGGACTGCAATCATACGCTACAGCAGAGGTCCCCAACCAGCGGTCCGCGGACCGGTACCGGGCCTCGGCCCCCCTCGGGAACGCGCCACTCTAGCCCATCGGAATCCCCCTTCAAACATCCGTTAGCAGTCTGAAATCAACAGAATCCGCCAAGAAATGAAGGAAGAAACAGTCAACAGTAAGTAAGAGTTCCAAATGGACTTCCGAAGATGAAGCGATTTGGACAAGAGAAGTTCCTCCCCTCGCCCGGAGCGACGCGAAGGAAGAAGCTGTTGCGCGTGCTACTGTATGTCATCCAAAACGAGGCGATACAAGAACCCCGTTGAAGCATTTCAACAAGTAGCACCCAAGCAATCGGAAAGCATGAAAAAAATGCGGGCAGAGTTTGCACAACGCGCCCGCGTCAACGTTAGCAGTTTAGTCGCCAACACCTAGCCGGCGGCCAGGAGCAATGATGTTCGATGTAGGAGTATGAATCCCTTTGCCTGATTTGTATTTATCATTCCCAATTGGTCCATTTCTTCGTAGTTCATTGTGTTATTGTATTCTACATTGGCCGAGCACTAGAAGAACATCGTTTGAAATGAATGAAAAAAAAAAAATCTGTTTATAAAATGTTGAATGACTCTCGAATCATTCTTGTCAGTAGCAGTGCTTTGAAACTGGCAATTTAAAAGCAATAAAAAAAATCAAAATAAAAAGCGTTGCCGGTCCGCGAAGGTCACAGACTTGTCTCAACTGGTCTGTGACGCGAAAACAGGTTGGGGACACCCGCTTTTGAGTAGATTGTACTTTGGAGAACAAACAATGACTCCGAACGCTTTTTCAAAAGACTGACTGATCGCCTCGAGTGCGTGGACTCGAGGCCTCGAACCTTTACTCCGACTGGCACATCATGGTGTCATTGCACACGTTAGCAGACTTCATGTCAGCACTGGAGGATATTGACTTGTCCTGTGCAACTGTGCAAGCGGTGGAAGATATTTCATGTTCTTGTGGCAGAGGGCTGAATGTGCGGTTGGCCAGCTCAAATGCGTGGCCCCAGTTGACTTTAGCGTCCTTGGGAGTTTCTTGCTTCCCCGCTGTTCCAGCTGCGCTTGAGGAAAGGCTGCACGGCGTCACGGTTGGGCAGCTTTCAGGTAGGGGAATCTTTTTCTTGGGTGGCTCCGTTTCGCTGTAGTCCGAATCTGACCAGGTGAACTTCCGCTTCTGCAATTTCAAAAAAAAAAAAAAAAAAAGTGGCTTCTCTGTAAAATGTCGACGGGTCGGTGATCTAATTTACAAAGATGGCTTGAAAAAAAGAGAGAGAACGAACTGAAACTGCAGCTTACGTTTATAAAACGATATAACTACACCCAAAATGTCCTTTCTTTTTATCTTTGTCAATTTATATCATACATAAACTTGCAGGGTTCATCTAATATGTATTTCTTTCGGTGTTGCTGTGCATCCATATAGAGAAGGAGGAAAGTCAAACAGTCGTTTGAGAATTGTGGTTTGTTTGACCTTAGTTACACAATACTTGATCACCTTTTCTTTTTTTTTTTTGCACTCAACAAATAACATGGACATATACGTACATATATTTATACATATCTATCTATCTAGAGAGAGAGAGAGAAAATCTAATACTAATTTGAACAAAAACAAA